GTCGCGAGTCGGTGGGCGTGGCGCGCGAAGCCAGGTGGCCCAGGAGAAGCGGGGAAGGACGGGTGCGTCTCCCCTCCCTCCCCCTATCTCTTTCTCTCTCTGTCCTCGTGTTCCTCCCTCCCGTTCTCCTCTCCACCCCCCCTCTTCTCCCCATTCCTCTCCCCTCCTATCCTCTCCTCCCTCGCTTCGGAGTAGTGCGATGCTAGCCTGTCCGTCATTCGCTCGCCGCTGGCTAGGCGCACGCCACATCAGCAGACCGCTTAGTGTGCTCGAGGTCAGGTTTGCGCTAGCGCAGTCGTGTTGAGCCGACAGTGTGCATATTCCACCGCTGCGCGAGGTTGGAAAGCCGAGCTCGCTTCTTGAGGTGGAGTCTGGTTATTCCAGGCGTGCTGGAACGCTACTTGGGCCAGCGGGGTCGCCAAGTTCGACTACCAGAGATCCGCCAGAGTTCCTGTCGGTCACGGATCGGACTCGAGTACGCGGTCAACGAAAAGAAACAGCGGGAGGAGACGGAGGAGGCGGCTGATGAGTGTGGAGGAGGGGGAGAGGGAGCAGCGGCTGGATGATGCTGAAGGGGGTGGGACAGGCAGAAGGAGCAGGGGAAACAGCGGAATGGCCCGAAGGAACAGGGTGAGCAGGGGTTCATGTCTTGAGTCGAAGAGGAGGGGGCGCCCGAGTGGCAGCAGGAGGACGGGGGGGCGGTGGAGGAGGAGCCGGAGCAGGAGGAGAAGTAGGCAAAGCGCTGCGTCGGAGACGTCCAGCGGCGAACGCGGCGCCGCCAGCGACACGGGGAACGAGCGAGGAGCAGCCGGAGGAGTGGGGACGCGATCCCGCCCCACCGGCAGACCTCGAGCGGAACGCCCGAGGGAGGCACGGCACGGGACGGCGCTCGATGGACGTGCTCGCTCGCGCCGCGCACAGGCCAGGGTGCCCAACGCTTGCCTCTCTGCCACGCTCGGGGTGCTCCTGCACAGAGGAGGCTCATGCCAAGAAACACCCTGCCTGCCGCCAGGGTGCCCTGGGTTTCTTGGGTTTCGATGGTTCTGCCATGGAAAGCGGGACGCTCCCGCGCCAAAAGTCCATGGACGTCCTGGGGCCTCAGGGTTGGGCTTCTTGTGGCAGGTCTCTTGTGGTCGGGCCCCCTTCTGTAAGTGGATGCGGGTGGTCCCCTGTTCTCAGCCGTCTTGGGTCTTGTGGCGGGTGCTCCTGGGAGGCCATCTGGGCCTCTCCTGGAGTCCCAGGTCACCTCGGGTCACCCTTGGGTTAAGTCGGGCCTGTCCTCCTACAGGAGGAACATGCAAAAATAGCCGAACAATAGTCTTGGGTCGAGATTCCGATTATTTCTTGACTCTTTTGGCGCAGTTTTGGGCTATCTTTGTTCGTCCAATTCCCGCCTGTAGGAGGACAGGCCCGACCTAAGCCTTGGGCCAGGGACGCCTCTGTCGGGGGCGAGCCCAGGGGGGAAGTCAGCGGGGGACTGCCTTCGCTCAGAAGGCTCGGAAGGCCTCCGGCCTCCCGAAAAGCTTTGTGGGCCTCCTCCGGAGACAGAGGCTCGGGGGTCGTAGAGAGAGGGTTATCCCAAGGTGGGGCTGGGGAGCGGGCCCAGCTGGATGCTCCCGTGTAACGCGTTTCCCTTTTCCAGGGGCCGTCTGGAGCAATTCTCCCTCCAAACCCACCTTTGCCCCAGCCCTACCTTTGTGCCCCCCGAGAGGCGGCTTCTCCGAAGGTCAACGAGCGCGTTCCACTACTCGCAAAGTGCCTGCTCGCAAACGTCCGACACAGATCCCGTCCTCCTCGATGCAATTTAGCGTAGATCCCCCACGGCGGATCCAGGCCATTTGCAAGTGGCTACTTTGCGAGTAGTGGAGCGCGCTCGTCTACCAGGCGTGGGGGCTTCTGAGAAGCCCCGCCCGCCTTCTGAGAAGGCCTGCCCCCTCTCACTTCCCCCTGGGCTCGCCGCCGAAGCACCCAACGCGCGAGCGGCGCGAGCGGGCGGCGACTGCGCGGGCACTCGCACGCAAGCCGCGCCCGAGGCCGCGCGACGGGCGGCTCCCTCGCCCCCAACCCGCGCGGTGCGGCCTGCGCGAGCGGCCTGCGCGAGCGGCCTGCGCGCGGTGGTCGCCGCGTCCTCGTGGAGACCGCGTCTGTGTCCCCTGGCGAGAGCGGGCCTGGCCGCGGGGGGGACGGTCGACCAGGAGGCCACGCGGGGGATCGGGCCGACCAGGAGGAGAGGAGGCTCCAGGAGGCCGCTGGAGCCATGGGGGCTTCGAGACAACACAGAGGCTTCAGGAGGCCACGTGAGGCAGCAGGATGCTCCAGAATGCCACCCCGCGAGGAACCAGGTGGCTCCAGGTGGTCCAGAGATGGTATCGCCTCCTGGTCGTTCCAATGGGAGGGGGGGAGGGGGCCGGTCACGTCAGGACTCGCGCCAGCGCTGCCTGGGAACGCTTCGGACTGGCTAGGTCCCAGACGGCGCCGGCGCGAAGCGTGACGTGACCAGGAGTGGGGGGGGAGGGAGGAGGGAGGCGGGGCCAGTCACGGGCGTTCTCGCGAATGAAAGAGCAGCAGGCTCGTAGACAAGGACCCACGCCCACTCCCCAGACCCCCTCGCGTCGTGAACATGTCGTGGCCTGCAGTTCTTGGACGTCTTCGGCCTCCGAGGGCCCTCGCCGGGCCCCGGGACGGGAAAAAACACGACGTCGGTCTTCGCCGCCTCTGGCGGTGTGCGAAGCCCCAGGAGAGCGAGGCATTGACAGTGCAGCTCAACATTGACACGGTGGTGGCCAGGAAGCCCCCCCAGCCTCCTCAGGCCGCGCCCCGCGGTGCGCGACGCGCCCTCGCCTGCGCGCCCTTGCGCCGCCGCCGGAGAGAAGGGCTCAGGCCACGTCCCGCGCGAAGCGCGTGTACCTCCCAGGGGCTCCGTTCGACTCCCCCGGCTCGATTCGCTTCTCGAGGAAGAGAAAACGCCATAGACAGAAACGTTTGGCGCTCCTCGCGGATTTCTTAGATCTGCGCTGGGGCCCCCCGGCGGCGCCTCTGGCGCCGCCCCTGGCGCGCTCCGCGCGCCAGGGAAGGGGGGTCCAGCGCAGATTCAAGACAGATGCGCGGAGCGCCAAACAATTATGTTTATGGCGTTGTTCCCCATATCCTAAGATGGGGTTCTTGTTATTACTTGGACGCCTCCTACTCCTCCTTCCTCCTCCTCTTTTCTCCTCCCCTCCTGTCGGACATACTCAGACTTGCTCATACACAGACTTACTCATACTCAGACTTACTCAGACTCAGACCTACTCATATTCAGACTTACTCACACTCAGACATACTCATATACAGACTTACTCATACACAGACTTACTCATACACAGTATTAGTCATACCCAGACGTACACATACACAGACTTACTCATACACAGACTTCCTCATACTCAGCACCCCTAAGGGGAGCCGCCAGGGGTGGTTGCACGGGCTCGTTCGCGGCCATTTTGTGGGGATGTCTCAGGCGGTTTGCCTGTTTCTGTGCCCAACATCCTTCGCTTTCGGAGCAGATTTGGAGGATGTCTCGAGCGAGGCGCTCATTTCAGCACCCCTAAGGGGAGCCGCCAGGGGTGGTTGCACGGGCTCGTTCGCGGCCATTTTGTGGGGATGTCTCAGGCGGTTTGCCTGTTTCTGTGCCCAACATCCTTCGCTTTCGGAGCAGATTTGGAGGATGTCTCGAGCGAGGCGCTCATTTCAGCACCCCTAAGGGGAGCCGCCAGGGGTGGTTGCACGGGCTCGTTCGCGGCCATTTTGTGGGGATGTCTCAGGCGGTTTGCCTGTTTCTGTGCCCAACATCCTTCGCTTTCGGAGCAGATTTGGAGGATGTCTCGAGCGAGGCGCTCATTTCAGCACCCCTAAGGGGAGCCGCCAGGGGTGGTTGCACGGGCTCGTTCGCGGCCATTTTGTGGGGATGTCTCAGGCGGTTTGCCTGTTTCTGTGCCCAACATCCTTCGCTTTCGGAGCAGATTTGGAGGATGTCTCGAGCGAGGCGCTCATTTCAGCACCCCTAAGGGGAGCCGCCAGGGGTGGTTGCACGGGCTCGTTCGCGGCCATTTTGTGGGGATGTCTCAGGCGGTTTGCCTGTTTCTGTGCCCAACATCCTTCGCTTTCGGAGCAGATTTGGAGGATGTCTCGAGCGAGGCGCTCATTTCAGCACCCCTAAGGGGAGCCGCCAGGGGTGGTTGCACGGGCTCGTTCGCGGCCATTTTGTGGGGATGTCTCAGGCGGTTTGCTTGTTTCTGGGCCCAACATCCTTCGCTTTCGGAGCAGATTTGGAGGATGTCTCGAGCGGGGCGCTCATGTTCACCCCCCAGGTGGGCCAGATTTTGAGGATGTCTCGATCGGTTTGCTAGTTTTGGTGGCCAGGCTCGTGGGCGCAGATTCTTCTCAGGATGCCACAGGAGGCTCCAACAGGCTCCAGGAGGCTCCAGGAGACCACATGAGGTCCCAGGAGGCATCAGGAGGCCACAGAAAGACTCAAGAGGCTACAGGATGTCCCAAGAGGCTCCAGGAGGCCCCAGGAAGCTCCAGAAGGCTTCAGGAAACCACAGGAGGCCCCAGGAGGCAACAGGAAGCGCCAGGAGGCCTCGGAAGGCAACAGGAGGCCCCGAGAGGCCCCAGGAGCAGGAGGCCTCAGAAGGCAACAGGAGTGGCTCCAATCCCATGTGTTTTACGTATGCTCCTATCGATTGGGCCTCACCTGGAGCACGATTCTTTGATGTTCTACGTATGTTTCTATAGATGGTCCTTCTCCTGTGTACACAATCCTAAATGTTTTACTCATGTTCCTATGTATTGGGCCTCTCCTGGGGCACGAGTCCTTGGTGTTTTACGCGTGTTCCTATAGATTGCCCTTCTCCTGTGGCTCTAATCCGCAATGTTTTATGTACGTCTGTTGCTATAGATTGCGCCTCCCCTGGGGCACGAAACCTTCCTAGGAGGTCCCAGGAGGTCCCAAGAGGCTCCTGGAGACCCCAGGAAGCCCCAGTAGGTTTCAGGAGGCCCCAGGAGGCCCCAGGCTCATGCACAGAGACGCGCTCGTACTACTGAGGCTCATTCACACTCCAATTCATTCGCAGTTAGATTGATGTCCAGACCGTCACAACTGAAGCCCGTTAATATTCGAAAGCTCTTGCGCCTAGACATTCACGGCGGACAGGTCCATGCGAGTAGATGCACATATGGGGAGCTCCACGCAGTGAATAATTTCTTCCTCTAGATTTGATTTCGACCGATTCCGATTCCGATTCGGTTCGACTGCGGATTCCGACTTGAAGTTCGGTTTCTCCACGGAGGCTTGACCAGCCTGCCGATTTCTGCCGATTCGCTCGGCTGCCGAGGTCTTCCGCCGATCCGATCAATTATGATTAGTTTCGATATCCCATCCGTCTTGTCGATTCGATTCTGGGCTCTCCTGCCCCTAGGGGCACGAAGATGATCGCGGTTCGCACATCGCGGCCTTTGCACAGAGCGGGAGGGAGGAAGGGAGGAAGGAAGGAAGGAGGGACGGAGGAGGGAAGGTTGTTCTCTTCGCCTGCGCGCACAGCAGAGGCTCTCCTGGCAGCACGCCGACTGAGCATGTTGCTGGCCAGCGATCTGTTCCTCATCTCGTTCCGCTTCGTCATGCAGCCCTGCCGGCTGCTGGCGGCGCTGTCCATGTACAGGCGCTGCCAGCCCCCTCCCAGCCTCCCGGGGTGGGGTGAGGAAGAACGAGCGGTGAGCCCGCAAGCTGGAGAGCTTGGGGTGAACAAGTCTCCTCCTCCTCCTCCTCCTCCTCCTCCTCCTCCTCCTCCTCCTCCTCCTCCTCCTCCTCCTCCTACTCCGCCTTCTGCGCTCGATGAAGCAAAAACGCCAGCAGAATCAGATGCTCGGAGCTCCGCGCAGATTTCTTGGATCGGCGCTGGGGCCCCGCAGGCGGCGTCTCCGGCGCCGCCCCCGGGCGCGCTCCGCGTGCCAGGGACGGCGGGCCCAGCGCAGATCTCAAAAATCCGCGCGCAGCTCCGCAAGCTGGTTCTTACGCCGTCTTTTCTTCTTCGAGAGCAGGTGATGGGACCGTTTTCCACCACCACCACCGCCACGACCACCACCATAATTTGGAGGGGAAGGGGGTCCTCCTCCTCCTCCTCCTCCTCGTCCTCCTCCTCCTCTGCGTCCTCCTCCTCCTCCTCCTCTGCGTCCTCCTCCTCCTCTGCGTCCTCCTCCTCCTCGTCCTCCAGCTCCTTCCCCCCTCCAACTTATGGTGGTGGTGGTGGAGTGGAAGACAGGGCCCCGAGAGAAAAGGGTTCGAGGTTTCTCGCCGGCCTCGGCCCCCAGGGCGCCCTTTCCCAGGCCCTGGCTGTCCACGCAAGAACCGCGAGGGCGGGGGAGGCGATCCCCCCCGGAGGCCGAGGGCGCGTCCCCACCGGGGCCCTCTTCCCTTTTTCCCCCCCCCCACGCCGACGTTCGTCTCCGTCGGCAAATGAGCGGCGCAGAGAAACGGGGTCGTCTTCACCGACGCGGGCGCGCAAGCTGCCCGCGTAAGGTCGCACGCAAGCGCCCTCGTCTCCGATGTGGCGTGCCGCGCCGGCGGCCCGCGCAGGCCGCGAGGTAAAAGGTCACGGTGCCGTCTCGCGCAGGACCCGCTTCTTGTCGTCGCTCAAAACGAGGGGAGGGGGTCGAGGCGGGCGAGCAAGCAACAGCCGGTGGCACAGCGGACCCGTCCTTTCGACAGCCGAGCTCGGCGACCTCCAGGAGCTGAGGGCGACCCTCTGTGAAGGCCTGCCCAGAGGCCGCCGGGCAGGCCTTTGTCTCTCGTTCCTGCTCTACCTTCCTCATCCATCCTCCCACCGTCATCCCTCCTCTTCCGTCCTCGTCGCCGCGCCACGCACACAAAAACCCACACGGCGAGGAGCCGCTTGCACCTCGTAGTTGTTTACCTTTGTCTTGCGCATATGCAGAAGGGGGGGGAGAGTTGGCTGACTCACCAGCGAGCCCAAGGGGGGTCAGGCTCCCCCGTGTTTGGAGGACCCTTCCTCCTTGTTTCGAGGGCGACTGGAGAAGAGTGCCCGATTTCCCCAACTTCGGCGGGTTGGCGTAGGCGTAACGGCGAGTGTATGAACTTCCGCGGGGCCCGTGCTCCAGAAGTGATACCGTAGGGCGTCGTTGCGACGGGTTGATGATTGGGCGCGCAAGTTTCTCATGGCCTTTTGGCATACAGCCCCAGCTTGGAGCCGTCTAGGGTTTGAGGTGACCCAGCACTGGGAGTTGCAATCGTTTAACTGCGTGTCAGTACGGAAGGGCGGGGGAGGGGAAGGGAAGGCAAAGACAAGGAGGACGAGGAACGAAAAGATAGATAAGGAAGAAGGGGAGGGGGCAGGGGAGGGATTAATCGACAATAATATGTTGCGCGTTGAGTGGCATCCACAATTCTTGACGCTTCCCGCGTATCCCCACCAGCCCATCCAGAAACGATGCCCATGAGAGTTGACGGGGGGAGAGAAGAAAAAACACACATAGTCAAACAGCGAGGGAGGCGTGGGCGGCTCCGTGGCCATCTCGAGCCGTCTTGGAGCGGTCTTGGGGCCACTTGGAGCATCTTGGGAGCCAGCTTGGGCTATCTGAGCCATGTTAGATGTCATATCGGGTTCTCTGAGGCCGCTCGGGGGCCTCTCGGGTGCCTCTTGGAGCCCTTTTGGGGCTTTTTGGGGGGTTTTTGGCCCTCTTGGGGGCCTCTTGGGGCCATCTTGGAGGCGGTCGGTCACAGGGTACTCGATCTCCCTCCCCCCCATCGGAGGCCACGATGCTTGTGAGGGGTGTCAAAAATTGGCCCTCCCAAAGGCCGAAAAAGGAGCCTCCGACACCTCGCGACCCCCCCAAAATCAGCTTGGCGAAGGACCCAACAATATGCCGTTGTGAATACCGCAATTGTGAATACCATTTTCGCCCGCGCTCCCTATGTGGCCACGGCGTCTCGCCGGGGGGCCCGACATGCTCAGGGACACGTTCGTGGCCGTTTTCGCGGGCGCCGACGACGACGGAAATGGTTTTCAGAGCCATGAGCGAAGGCTCCGAGAGCAATGAGGGCGGAGGTGGCGCTGCACGTCGACAGCGCGGAGTACGACGCCCAGGCGCGGCTGTTGAAGCAGCACAATTCTGGGCACGAGACGCTGTACAAGGTGGGTGAAACGCAGGGGGGAAGGAGGGGGGAAGGGGAGGAGGGAGGGAGGAGGGACGCGGTGGAGACGCCAGATGTGTGGAATTCTCTCATCGAATTTTGTATGGAGCCTTTCATTCCGTTTTGGCGCGCGCGGGGCTTCGGTTCCCACCTGGGGGAGGAGGAGTACACTCACGCAGTCTGGGCGGAAAACATATTGTTGTTTTCTTCACGGGAGTCCGACATCCGCACTATGACACAAGAGTTAACAGACGCAGTGGGCACGCATGACTTACGCTGGAAACAATCTTCCTTGCAGTGCATGTCGGCCGGAGACCGGCCCTTTGATCCACCTCCTGGCTGTTCATCAACATGGATGCCGGCTCGTCTATGAGAGAACGTCGGGAGCATGCCAGTGCTCGGGACTTGCGTCGACAGCGTTGACGCGACAACCACGAGCACGGAACATCGACCTTCGGCCGCAGCAGGGCTCTTCTACAAGCATCGCCACATCTTCGTTTCCAAGGTCAGTATGAAAGAATAATTTCAAGCATGGCGTCGAGCACCCTCGATGTTTGCAGCATTTCGTTCTTCGACATGGCACCTTAACCAACCAAACGGTGCTACGTCGTGTCCGATCATGGGAATCGGACCACGCACGTCGCATTTTGAAGTTGAGAGGGAGACCGGAAGAAGGGCAGGCGAGCTACATGTAACGAACCGCTGCCCAAATACACCGATGGATCGAATAATGTTCCGTTGAATCTCTGCACCTACGTGTTCTGAAAGCTGTCTTCAAAGCCGCATGGTTGGATCATTCTCGACACAGTAGCCAGTTTGCCATGGCGCGGCGATTCTGCGACACGCTCGAATGGCAGACTCTCCGCTCCATGAGTTCTGTAAGCCAGCGACGGCGAGAAGGATTGGTGCACGGGTCCCGCGGCGCAGTGCGATCCCATTGGGATGCCCCTTTCTGCGTCGCTTTCGGTTTGCAGTGGCGGAGTATGCTGCACACCTGCGACACCTTCAATGACTGGATGAAACACTTCAGGAATTTCGCGGAGGCCTTGTGCGCAGCCTGGCACTTCCCGCAACCATCCACTCCCGCTGGTCCAGGCGCAGAGTGGCGAGGAGAAGAACGCACTGCCCACACGATGGACAAAATCCCCTCTTTGTGCCGGCACCCTACTGATGAACATTGGGACCGCGGTGGGCGACGAATCATGATCCGGGTTGATAACCAAACCGTTGCCGATTTGGTCAACAGACACGCGGTGCTGACAGATGACTCATACCGTGCGGCTTTTGTGCAGATTCTCCGCAACCTGGCTGCTCTTTCAGGGCGGGGTTGGGAGCCCCAAACCACGACAGCCAACATCGCGCAGTGGCAGTCGCGCCGTCACAACAACGTAGCCGACCACATTGCAAACCACGTCCTCGAGAGTAAGGTCTCGTGGTCCTGGCAGGAGGTTTCGTCCGTCCAGAGCAACCCATCGCGTCTGATGTTCTGTTGCGACGGCGGGCTCTCGTCTAGCATCGGAGCCTCTGTATACGTTCTTCTGGACATGAATGACGAGAGCGGCGCCCTAATGGCTACCGGGGGCGCACACCTCCAAAGCTGCAAGAGCGCCTTCGAGGCCGAGGTCGTCGCCTTGGACACGGGTCTGAGAGCTTTTCTGAACGCATTATCTTCCTCCCCCTCCTCCTCCCCCCCCCCCCCCTCTGCCGGCCCTCTCCTCCCCCCCCCTTCTGCTTCCAACAGTTTTACATGGCGCGCAGCGCCGCCAATCTGTCTCCTCCGGAGAGGTATAGCACAGGCAGTCCATGGACTCGAGCCGAAGTCTGAAAAGAAGAAAGAACGCAACAGGATGGTTGGAAAAACTTCAGGGAGGGGAAGGAGGAGGCCCCCCTCCCCGAAGGGAAGAGGGGTTGTGGAAGAGGAAAAATACCCTCGTTAGACCACGCGTCGCCCAAAGGGCTGGTGGGACTTCCGCGACTTCCCTCTGCGCGCTGAGTGGAGCTACTTCTAAATGTGGTCCCAGCGCAACGATCAGAAGCAACGATTCTGCGAAATCGGCGGGGTGCCATCCACCTTTTTGGCATCCGCGCGTGACCGCCCTTGGCGCTCGTGAAAGAATCGCACCCACACACCCTCAGTTGGTTGGCGCGCATCCGTTGGGCGACGACAGCGGCGGCGACGATGAACAAAATGACGTTCATCATGGCAGCGGCGGGGACGCCGTTGGCGACGACGAAGGTGATGGTGATGAAGTTGATGATGGTGATGAAGTTGTTGATGATGATGATGATGATGATGATGAGGAAAAGGAGGACTTGGGTGATGGGGATGGGGATGATCACGATGATGACGGCGGCGACGATGATGACGTCGGCGATAGTCATGAAAATGATGTCGGCGAGGATTGCGAAGAAGTGCGCGCGCGAACACATAAAATGTAAAACTTAATATGCCAGGCAGCCGCATTGTGGTAAACATAATGAAAAAAGTGTGCTTGTCATGTGTGACCTTATGTTAAAGAACACGTCCGGGTTGAAATGTTGCAGGGTCGCGTTTGTGCCGAGACGTGGCCCATTCTTTGAGCTCCCAGTTGCTGTATCAGAGGCACGTTGGTGTGATACGATGTGTCTACCGTATTGTAGCCGTCCTGGCACGAGTGACATCACTATTTCCCTGTCAGGATGGAAGCGGAGCGCGAGCGACACCGACTCGCGCAGGTCCACGGACCTTGGCTGCGCGCCGCTGAGACCGCCGAGGCGGAGCCGCGAGGAGCGTGGAAGCGGCCGCGGCGGAGCCGCAAGAGACGCGCAGAGAGCTGGCTGGCATTTCAGTTCAAGGCCTGCATCGGCAGCCAGAGCCGCAACGGCTCAGAGGGCGCGACCCAGGTGGAGCACACCCACCAGGTGTTGAATTATGCGATCTACGATGACGAGTGGAGACAGATGGCCCAGCCATTCTTCTACCAGCTGACGATGTACACCGCGACGCCGTTCGGCATCATCACAAAGGTGAGTAAACAGGACGGGCTCGAGGCGCATCGCGTCTAGGGCCCCCAGGGCGACTCGTAGAACATGGGCAGCATTGCGCCCCGATAGGTGAATGCGCTGGAGTTCGATCTCGGCGGCGAGGCGAAGCTCCTCGACAATATGGAGAACCTGATCGAGGAGTACGAGAAGCTGGCCAACGAGATGATGAGCGATGCACGAGGACGGCGGCCACGATCGTTCGGGCCCCCGAGGCACTTCGCAACCGCGTGCTGCTATCGTTCCCGAAGGCGGAGATCCAGCGGCCCAGGGCGAAGAAGGTCGCGGCCGATTACCCCCTGACGAAGCAGCCCATGCCCGGCAACGGCCCGACGCCCATGGACATCGGAGCGGCGAATTCGACATGGGACCGCAACGGCGGCCAGGGCAAAGGCAGCAACGGCAAGGGTAGCCAGGGGGCCAAGGACGAGAACGGGGGCAAGCGATAGGCGGGAGGAATGAGCGGCAGCCACGACCAGAGAAAGTTCCAGGGACATAGCGGACGATGCGGCAAGTGCGGACACAAGCAGAAGGACTGCCGGACGAAGGTCCACAATGCCAACGGTTGGGAAGCCACTTGGGTCAGCGGCAAGTGAGTCGGAGGCTGGGGCACGACCGCGAGCGACAAGAAGAAGAATAACGCTCCCCAGGAGGAGATCGGCACCACCACCGCGGCCAGCGCCGCGACGTGCCAGGAGTGCGAGGCCAACGCCTGGATCTTCGCCGCTCGCGGGGACTGCGCGCAGATGGGCGCGCGCGGGGCCCCTGCGATTTCCCCGACTACCCCGCAATGCAGGACAGAAAGTTGGAGATCTCAGTTGCGAACGGCACGACCCTCGAGCGCCACGGCGACAAGCATGCGAATCTTAGGACGAGCGACGAGCAGTAGTTGAGCGCGAGGTTCCGCGCGACGGGCGTCACATCGCAAATCCTGAGCGCCCACTGCATCAGCACGGCAGGAATTGGGGTGGATTTTCCACCTAACGGCTCGACGGCCCATCCCTCGATCGCGCGGGATGCAAGGAGGGGGCGATCACGGCTTGGGCTACTGGTGGCGTTCGGACTGCGCTTCCTGCGCGCGACGTCCATGAGCTGCATGGGCGCGAAGATCGGCGCGGACTGGCTGCTCGTCAACGGCATGGCGAAGGCCGACCCTGAGCATTCGTCGCGACGCAGGTGGATCAGCCAGTGGAACCGATGGCAAGGTCAGAAGCGACGACGGTGACAGCGCCGAGAGAACCGACGAGAGCCGGGAGGGGGACTCACGGGGCCCCCCCACCGCCCACGCGCGGCGCGGCGCGCGGATTGCGCAGGGGGGGCGAGGCCTAGACGACATGCGCGAGAGGATCAAGGAGGTACAGCACGCACTTGTGATCCAGATCTACGACACGTGTGGCAAGACGCGTCGCGGCGAGTAGGTGCACCCAGTCATGCACGCGATCGACAATACATAGCGCGCTACGACCTCGACACGATGCGATGCTGAGAGAGGCGGGGGCCTGTCTGCGGCGAAGATTTCGAGGCGGCACGCGGAGAAGTTCGGCTTCGGCGCAGTCGCCATCCAGTGCAACGCCGAGAATGCGGCGAAAGACGCGGCCGCGAAGGTCGCGACCGACATGGACATGACCTACAGAGCGACGCCGCAGGCGAGCAAGGACAGCAACGGAACCGCGGAGAGGTTCAACTCGTCCATCGGGGGCATGACCAGGACGCGAAGGGGTGCCATCGGGAAGAAGCACGGGATTGCGATCGAGCTGCGGCCCGTTTGATGGATTGGATCGCGCGCCGCGCCTCGTGGCCACGCGATCGCGTCTTTGCCCGCAGGTCGGATGCAAGACGTCCTTCGAGCGACGGCGCGAGACGCGCTGCGACGCGCGGGCACCCCCGATCGGCGAGGCGGCCACGCGGGGGCAGCTTGGGCCCATGGTCAGCAAGTTCGACGCTGCGCAGGGCCGCGGCATCCACCTGGGCCGCTCGCTGGAGGACGACGCCCACATCTGCGGCGCCAGGCGCGGGGCCGCGGCGGCCAGGTCCGCGCGGGGGCTGGAGAGCGAGCGCCGCGACAAGCAGTTGCCCCTGTCAACGAAGGGTGCCCCGAGCGACGCCAAGGCGCCGAACGCGGCGACGCCCGCGCCGGATCAGCCTGCCCCGCGGCCCGCCAGGTTGCTGGGGCCAGCCACGGCCGCGGCCCAGGAGAGGCAGCCGCAGCCGCCCCGCGCGAAGGCGAGGTCCGAGCGACCGCAGGAGGGGCAGCCGGAGCCCGACGAGGCTGGGGGCGGCGACGACGAGGACTCGCAGGACGCCGAGAACATCGAGAACGCGCCACTACCCTGGCAGCGAAGTGTCCGCGAGGACGGCCACCGACGAGAGCACTGCCTGACCCGATGTCGGAACAGTTCACCCTGGCTGCAGCGGATGCCTGGGGGCATCGCGCCGCCACTCGAGCTACTACTTCAACAGGGGGACCCCCCCCAACGAGCCGCGCGGCAAGAGGGCCGCGGACGACAGTGCCGCCGCGTCCGAGGCGAAGCGGGCGGCGGCGGAGGAGCTCGAGGGCTCCGCTGGCAAGCGGGCCAGCGAGGGCGCGCCTGCTGAGGCGGAGGCGCTCAAGGAGCGGAAGGTCGGCGCGGTGAAGATCGGCAACGTGCCCGTCGCCGACGACATGGGTTACCGCAGTGGCATCGAGCTCCGCGCGCCCTGCGAGCTCGACCGCAACTTCGAGCTGTCGAGCGTTGCGCATTACGACAGCGACGACCGCGAGCGCCTCGACCCCGAAGCCGTCCGCGAGGGGATCAAGAGGGAAGGGGAGTTCATGGAGCACTCGGGCGTCGGAGATGTCGCGGGGCGCCCCCGCGACGAGAAGGCGCGGGGCACGCGGTGGCGCCGCCGCAAGAAGGACGAGGGCGTCCGCAGCAGGTTCTACACGAAGCTGTTCAGGGACGCCCAGGCAGGCGACCTCTTCGCCTGCACACCGCGCACGGAGGCGGCGCGCTCATGGCGGCGGAGCTCGCGCTGAATGAGGCACGTCGTCGCGACGACGGACTTCAGCGCGGCGCCCGCGCACGCGCTCGTGAAGGACGGGACGGAGATCCACGTGAAGATGCCGCCCAAATACGGCAAGGGCCGTGACTTCGTGCAGAGGCCGAAGAGGTCCCACCACGGGCGCAGAGAGGCGGCGCCCCGATTGCAGGGGCCCCTGGAGCGCGTCGCGACTGACCTCGGGTTCGAGGTCGGGAAGGCGGAGCCCACTATCCACCATTATAAGCAGAAGGGCACCAGGGTCGTGTTCCACACTGACGATCTTCCTGTCTCGAGCCCGACGCGAGGTGTGCTCGGCGAGTTCTTCGACAAGCTGGCCAAGCACCTGGCAATCAAGGGTCGGCACGTCCTGGGCGAGACCATCTATCTCGACTCGTCGCTGCAGCGGTTCGGCGACGCGATGGCAAAGCAGAGCAAGCCTGGGCACGCGCAGAGCATCCGCGGGGGCGCCGGGCCGCAAGCCCGTCGGCGCGGCAGGGATTCGAGCTGACCCCTCCCTGCCCAAAGCCGAGCGGCCGCTCGACGGCGAGGGGCGCTCGTTGTGCCGGAGGTGCCGCGGGGAGATCCAGCGCGCGGCCCCGCTGGGGCTCGACGCGACGCACCCGCCGAAGGAGCTCGGTCGGCGGCTGAGCGAGCCGCGCGTCGCGGACACGAAGAGCCTGAAGTACCTCCTCCGCTACCTCAGCGGGGCGATCGACTTGGCGATGGCCCCCCGCGCCATGAGAGATTGGAAGCGCCTTCGCTGGAGAACAGACTCCGATTGGGCTGGGCGCCATGGGGCCCGCAAGGCGGCCGCTTGCGGGATCGTGAGATGGCGTGGCGCAGCGATCAGTGCATACGTTCGCCCCGAGTCGACGCTGGCCCAGTCGCGCCCCGAGGCCGAGTGCCTGGCTGCCGTGGAGCTCGCCGCGGAGATGCTGTGCGTCAAGGGGCTGGTCGGGCTCGCGGGGTTCGACGCGTCGCTGGAGATCGAGTTCGACGCATCGTCTGCCATCGCGATTGCCTGACGACGCGGACTCGGCGGGCTACGACACTTGGAGGCGAAGTGGCTTAGGCTCAAGCAGCTGGCGGGTGGCCAGATCAAAATCTCGAAGTTCCAGGGCTCGGAGAACCTGCCCGACATTGGCACGAAGTTCCTGGGTCGGATCGCGCTCGAGACGTGCCGCGCCATGCTGGGCCTGAGCGTGGTGGACGCGTTCGGGGCGGGGATCGCATCCGCCCCGGGCGAGTCAAGGAGCGCGACCTACCTGGCGACGCCCATGACCTTGATGAGCGGTGCTGGCGCGCAGACGGATGCTCCCGAGACCGGTCCATGCTGGTCGTGATCGCCTGGCTGGACGATGGGAGCGCGGGTGGTTCTGCGCTGTCAGTGGAACCTGAGGCGGAGCCGCTGGCACTACCGTCGACGACCTTGACACGAGCCCCGACCGTGTCGGAGCCCGAACATCCGGAGCTACTTGAGGAGTCGGTGGGAGTGCACCGATGCCACGGGCCTGGGCGGGCTATCCAGCTGTATCACTTGGACGACAAACATACAGTGATCCACTCGAGCCCGAACTGCCAAGCCCTGCGGAACCGTAGCCAGCCCATCATCACCCGTGTTAGCTGCTCGTTGCGTTGCCGTGTCGTGGGGCAAGGAGTGGCGACAGTCCACCACGCGTTGAGCGAGGAGAGTGTGGCGCACAGTGACAGCATGTGCCGTGAATAGAGGACCCGAGTCCGTCGTCAAGTGAGTCGGGATGGCGGTGCGTTCTGTTTCGGGCGGTGTGGCTGACGCCGTCCGCCCGCGCGCGCGCCTGCGGCCAGAGGGTCCAGAAGGGCGTCGAGAGTTAGCCCGTTCCCTGGGCCCCCAGTTGTATCATAAGCACGTCGTCGTGATAGGATGCGCATACCGTATTTGAGCCGTTTGGGCATGGGCGAAATTACTCATCTTGATGTTCCTTGCCGAGAGTTTTGGACGGATCACGGCGTGCGCGGGCGACGCGCGCGCGTAGCCCGAATAGTATCATTGAATCGCTTCGCTCACTGCGCCAGCCCATAGGGAATGATCTATTCTTGCTGATGGGGCTCTATCGGGGGGGTTCTTGGTGGCCGCTGGGGGAGTCTTGAACGCGTCGCGGGCCGTCTGGAAGCGTTCTGTCTATGGGGATTTGTTCGGGAAACCCTTTGGTGGCCTCTAGGGGATTCTTACACGCGTCGGATGGCAGGCGTGTCTTGGTGGCCCCTTGGTGGCCTCTCGGGGAGGCCCCTTGGTGGCCTCTTGGGGATTTTTGCTTGCGTGCTCGGGGGGCATTTGGGGGGCCGCTTGGGGCCCTTTCGGGGGCCTCCTGAGGGCCTGTTGGGGGCCTCCCGGGGGTTTCTGAGGGCTGAGGGCTCGAAAAAATATGTGGGGTTCCCCCCCTGGGACCTCTCTTGGGGCGTTGTTGGGGCCTTCTTGGGCCGTTTTGGAGACCTCTTGGGCCGTCTTGGAGCCCCCTTGGGCCGTCGTGGGGCCCTCTTGGGGGCATCTTGGGCCCTCGTGGGGCGGTCTTGTGGGCCTCTTGGGCCGTTTTGGGGCGTCGGGAAACCGAAAAGAAAACGCTACAATCTCTCCAAAACCTAAGGAAAGGCAACGAATTTTGCCTCTTGGGGCCTTCTTGAGAGTGCTCTTGGAGGCCTCTTGGGCCGTCTGGGCGCCATCTTGGGCGTCTTGGAGCGATCTTGTGGCATCTCGGAGCTCTCTTGTATCATCTTGAGGGGCCCTTGGCGGCCTCTTGGCCTTTCTTGGGGCTCTCTGGACGGCCTCGAGGGCGGCGCCCAGGAGGAAAACCATCTCTAACCCGAGTCGCCCGGGACCTGCCCGGGGTGCTTTTCGTCCGGGGACCCCCAGTGGTCGCCCGCCCGCGCGAAGTAGAATTATTGTAAACCAGTTACCGGAGATCTTAATACGCCTCTGGCCCGTTGGGCCGGCGAATTTGACAGAGCTGGCGCGCGCGACATTTGCTGAATGTTTTGGACATGCTCGTGCGCGCGCATGGCCCGCATGGTCTCACTTGACAAACTGGCCAAACACCGACTGCACACATTTAGTCTCAGCGAGTGCGCGCGCACAGAAATCCAGAAACATTTTGCGGCGACGATCGTGTGAACACCTCCTCCTCCTCCTCCTCCTCCTCCTCCTCCTCCTCCTCCTCCTCCTCCCCATCCTCCTCCTCCTCCTCCTCCCCCTCCTCCTCCTCCTCCTCCTCCTCCTCCTCCTCCTCCTTGCCTCTGCAAAGGGGTCCTAGAGCAGATGGTTCCTGCAGGTGTTTCACCGTTTTCGGGCTTCTGGGCCCAGGGACCGGCAGAAAGATTAGCCGGGATGGGAAAAAGTTCGCATTGGAAGAAAGGCGCGGGCCTTAATTGTTGTTCATTGTGCTAATCAAGTGGTTCCGGTCTTGGGCGTCGCGCAGGCTCGTTCCAGCGCGGCGAATAGATTCCGCTCCGGATCGGACTTGGATTTGATTTGCACCATCGGGGAAGCTTCTGTGATCGTCGAGGGTTGTGTAAAAGCAGGGGCTTCTTTGCTGCATAGTTCCCGAGGGGGCAAGACGCAAGACAACAGTTTTACGCGCCTGATTGCGCTGCTCCGGTGATGTTTGCCATGCGTGGAGGTGTTGCGAGCCGCACTTCTCGCTGAAAGCCGCACGCACCACGAGGAGGACCAAGAGGCCAGGAGGCTGATGAGAATTGGGTCGACGTCAGTCAAGAGCTACCGAGCCGCCTGGGCAGGGGCGAGCCTCCCACCAGGCGCGGCCGCACGATGCACCAGAGCAATGATATGGACATCTCCTTCGGCTCGCCCGAGAAGGAGGCCCGCTCTGAGCGCGAGCGGTGACGCGAGGTCACCAGCACCTGCCCAGAAGAGCAAAGCGCTGGCATAAGCACGAGTCGTATGATTTCTTCGAGATGCCCTGCCCTCCACACCCTTTCCCCGGCACGCGCTGGAGGCGGCGCCAGAGGCGCTTCTAGGTGTGTGGGCCAGGGGGCCCGGTGCTGACCCAAGAAGCCCGCGCGGACTTCCGAAAGTGTTTGTTTAACTACCCCGTTGGTTTTTGCTCTTCTGGCCCGCCTGCGCGATTCTCCCTGTACATTATATCTAGGAGCTGCTGCTCATCTGCCGCGCCACCTGCCTGCAGATTCGTGTTTTTTCTTTCTCTGCGCGCGCCCAGAACCGCACCCGGGGGCCAGTGCTCGGAGTGGACGGGGTGGCCGAGCGCAACCGCGGGCCTCCGCACAGCATCCGTCTGCGCCAGACGCGTCGGACGAGCGGCCCGACTCTGGAGTCGGCTGGGGATCTGAGGTGGCCCAGCACTGGCTCTGGCCAGCAGGAAGGGGAGGGCAGGTTCGTGGTGCCGGGTTCGACAAGGTTTTTGTTTCTGTTCCCCATCATCTTGCTCGTTTTGAAGTGACATCGCCCCGCGTTCCTCTCCTCCTTCTCCTCCCTCCCTCCTCCCCTCTCCTCCTCCCTTCTCCTCCCTCCCTCCTCCCTCCTCCCACCCCAGATCCCATCCCTGCCTTCCCCTCCGCATGTTACTGTTTCGGCACACCCTTTGCACGCTTCGTGGTCCCATAGGGAGCTCCACCGAAGGTCTCAGTGGCAGCGCCCGCATGCGGTTCGACACCCTTCTCGGTGCACCCCTCAGACGCTTCGTGGCCCCGATCGAAGGCCCAGCAGCAGCGCCCGCATGCAGTTCCACCCCCACTTCGGCCCACCCCTCACACGTTTCAGAGCCCCATAGGGAGCTCCACCGAAGGTCCCAGTGGCAGCGCCCGCATGCGGTTACACCCCCCATTTCAGTGCACCCTTCACACGTTCTTTGGCCCCAGAGGGAGCTCCACCGAAGACCTTTGCGGCAGCGCCCACATGCGGTTCCACCCCCCATTTCGAAGAAGCTCTCACACGTTTCGTGGCCCCATAGGGAGCTCCACCGAAGGACCAGTAGCAGGGGCCGCATGCGGTTCCACCTGCCAGTTCGGCACACCCCTCACACGTTTCAGGGCCCCAGAGGGAGCTCCACCTAAGGCCCCAGTGACAGCGCCCGCATGCGGTTCCACCCATGTCTGTGCACCCCACCGACGTTTCGTGGCTCTATAGGGAGCTCCGCCTAAGTCCTCAGTGGCAGCGCCCGCATGCGATTCCACCTTCCATGGCAGCGAACCCCTCAGACGGTTGGTGGCCCCACAGGGAGCTCCACCGAAGGCCCGCGGCAGCGCCCGCATGCGGTTCCACACACCCCCCACTTCGGTGCACCCTTCACACGTTTCGTGGCCCCAGAGGGAGCTCCACCGAAGGCCCAGTAGCAGCGCCCGCATGCGGTTCCACCCCCATTTCGGCGAACCCTTCACACGTTAAGGCCTCAGTGGCAGCGCCCGCATGCGGTTCCACCCCCGATGTCGGCGAAGCTCTCACACGTTCTTTGGCCCCGTAGGGCGCTCCACCGGAGGCCTCAGTGGCCCCTCGAAGGCCCCAGTGGCAGCGCCCGCGTGGCGGCCCCGCCGCATTTCGGCACACCTTTCGCGCGCTTCGTGGCCCCATGAGGAGATCCGCCGAAGGGTAATACTCGCAACGACGGTACTCACAGCTGCACACGGCTGGGTCATTCCACAGGCCAAGTTAGTCTCCGGGGGCCGTTCTCGGGCCCCGGGGACCGTCAAAAACGAATCGGGCTCGAGCAGTTGCACCAGATGGACCGCAGGAGGGGTCCATGAACCGATTTGGAGCGAGTTTGTTTTCATCCCCCTCCTGGTCCAACCAGCTCAGACCCCTGGCCGCCTCCACGCCCGACTATCTTGCTCCTATGTTCTACGATACTGGAAACTGTGAGTCCCAGGTTGCTCTGGATGAATGGCAGGTTGTTTGCCGAAATCGAGCTTTCGCTACACGTGTATGTTATTCAAATGTGTTGTCGTAAAGCTTGCAACATGCACGCAAACAACCATGAAGATATCTTACAGCCTCGTGGATAGGTTTCCACATCAAAGACCACGGGTTTCCATAACAAGTCCCGCGGGTTTCCAGATCAAGCCCCACGTGTTTACGTAACGAGCCCCACGGATTTCCATAACAAGCCCCTCGGGTTTCCATAGGAACACCCACGCGTTTCCATAACAACCCGCGCGGTTTTTTGTCGGTTGTTATGTTTTGTTTGTTGTTGTTTCTTTGGGGGGGGTCTTCTTTTTCTTTCGCAGAGATCATCGAATTTTTGTTGTTGTAATTAGGAAGACTCACATTTTCCCACTGCGTGCAAACGGCGGCGCAGCGAGCGCGAGGTGAGACAGCAGGCCGGCTAAGCAAGCCTAGAGGAGGAGAAGGAGGAGGAGGAGGAGGAAGAGGAAGGGGCTAGATCACTTCTAAGTCCGCAAGTGGGCACGTGACCTCCTGAGGCGTGTAGGCCAGGTCACCGCCCGACCCCATGGCGCATCGAGCCACGGCCCGCTGTAAGGCGAGGCCTAAAATTCCCCACCATCTGTGTTGCAGGTCCAGAGCAGCCCCGCGGCGGACTCTTCCATGCAAATCACGCGTACGCTCGTGGGCCAAAGCAGGCACCAGGGCGACACTTTGAGCCCCCCATCTGCCGTACACTTTAGCTCCTAAGCACTGTAGGCTGCCCAACCCGCTTGTAATCACGTCAACGTAGGTGGTGTTGTTGTCGGATTCGGCTCGTTCCAGTAGCGCTCCACCTCTGTTACTAGTTCCTCCCCGCGGCCTGCCCCTCCCAGTAATAGGACACGTTGCCGCATTGGTGCACGTTACCACAACATCTAATCGGCGCATGTCGTTTGGGTGTACCGGTATATTTGTAGAGTTGAGGTGCCTTTCAATGTTTCGATCAGGGACTTGCCCCCCAGCCTCGCGGAATACCTGTCTCCAAGTTGCCATCAACTCAGTGTGTCGCCCTTGTCAGCCGCCACCTGTCCCGTCAGCCAGCCGTCCATGGCCGTGCACATCCGGCCCATCGATAATACATGCCATCCCCAATCGCCTTCGCACTGCGCACACGAAATAGGAATCCGTAATTGTAAGCACGTCTGTCGTAGGACACACATCAACAACCATCCTGCAGAGAACCTTCCCATCGTCGAATCGATGCGTGCTTTGCCTACGGATGCAGCATTCGCACGCACGCTAGGCAGGGCCTAGTTGCGCAAGTGCATGGGCGCTTTGTTCAATGTGGTAAGACGCGTGGTATTGCCAACCATGCTGCCATTCGCCCAATACCATATGTAACAAATCGGGTTGTGGTGGTCTTTGGCCAGATGCGACGTTTGCCCATGTCGGGCGTGCCGTCCACCCACTTGCATCACAGTATCTTCCCGCTGCTTCGGCTGCTACAAGGCAGTGTGGAACCAGTGCCGTTGTGAGATTCCCCGTGAGATAATCTCTGGTATTGCGTCTGCCCAGCTGGCCTAATATGCAGCTTTGGACGTCCGTGCTGAATCCCGGAGGCCCATTCTTGCCAGGCGGAGAGGCAATCGAGATTGATCCGCCCATGTTGAAAACGATATACCATGCAATTCCCGATCCCAATGTTGTTCTGTAGGTATAGTGCATATTTGCCGGAACGTTGCAAGAATTGCGGTATCGTGGTCGATGGCGAGTGGTTGTGCGTCGTCCGGTGGAAGGGTACGGAGGAGATATTTCATTCTGGTAATTGCGCAAAAATATAGCACGAGCCACGAGGCTTGGCGAGAGGGGAGTTTCGTGAGTAAGTCTCGTCGGCCAGGGTGGCCCAAAATGTGTTGGCAGATTCTGCGGTGCCGAATAGCTTTCCCAAGATTTTGATGCCTCTTTCCGCTAGTGGTTTGTTGCACCTCCACGCCAAAGTTGATGGACCCACCGAATTGTTTGGGCAAGGTGCTGTTGTATCCCCCTAAATGGCAAGTTCACCAACATTAGTATCAAGACATATATCCCGTAGTGTCTGTCTTGTGAATTGTAATATACATGATGCTTTGTTGTCAGGGTCGCACACTACATGCACGTCGTCGAGGTAAGCTAGTATTTTTGCTCTTGGTGGACGATCGCAGATCTGTTGCAATGCCGGGTGGATGGTCAAACAAAATAGTGCATCGCCTTGTTGTTCTTCCCCGTCGCTTTGGTAATTATCCTGCACGTTACCACAATTGTCCCGCCATTTGTATTGTGATATTTCGCCGTACCATCGACGCACGAATGGGATTAGATGGTGGAGCGATGGATGTCGCTGACTTTCTTCAAACATGCGTGCTCGACAAACGTAGTCGAATGCCCCGACGCCATCAATACTTACGACCACTTTTTGAAGGAAATTGTCTGTGACGTCCTCCTCCTCCTCCTCCTCCTCCTCCTCCTCCTCCTCCTCTATCCTCTATCAAATGTCCTCTTCGGTCCATTATCCCTCCTCCTCCTCCTCCTCCTCCTCCTCCTCCTCCTCCTTTTCATTATCTTTCTCCCTCTCTCTCTCCCCCCCTCTCTCTTCCTCACTCCTGCGGCCTGCTCTTCTTTTCTCTTCCGCCTCATTTTCCTATTCCTCGTCTCATCTTTGTCCCCGTCCTCCTGCCCCCCTCCTCCTTTGTCATCTCTTTCTCCTCCTCCTGTTTCCTCCTGTCATTTCCGTTGCGTCAGTGCCATTTCCGTTTGACAGCCCGAAATTGCGTGGCCGCACAGCATTCCGCAATTCTTTTTGGAATTGTTTGGCCGAAATTTTGGAGACCAATTGCGGAAAGGTGTCTCCAGACGCAATGCCCCCAATTCTGTCGTTAGACTATTTCAAAGTTATTATCATTGATATGTTTTTTATCACAATTCTGATTTCATGTGGTTGTTCTGCCCGCGCGAGTCGTTTTGCCGCGTCG